TAGTATAATATGTAAAACCTACACTAAGCGTGTAATTAACGACTTTAAAGTCCAGTTTACATTCCAATCCAGCGACTTACATTGCAATGTTATGCGCTGTGTATGTACTACGAAAATGCGGTAGGTTAAATTAAACCCATAAATTATAGAATGTTAAGGTTTTCGGAATTTTAATTTATATAAAGTTATCTAATACTTGCTTTAATGCGTTAATACAATGCGTAATACCCACGTCATAAATTATATGCGTCGAAAATACGTTCTGACCCCGACCTCGAGTCGATTAAGCATCACTAGGTCTTCCTTCAATTTCATATTTATAAACGGGGATTACGCAAAAATGCCAGCGTAATGGATCACCTACAGGACTTAGGCCGGCGATCCGTTGTCGGACACGCGGGGGGGTGAGGAAGGCAAATTTGAGAGGGGGGACGAGGGCGGCAAGGGTCTGATCGCCGCGCTCATCCATCACGCGGCTCACGCATGTGAATTGGGGCGTTTTATCTGGAGATAGCCATGGATGGAGCCTGGATACCTATTTAAATATTTTGTCGTTTAGCGCAAGTTTATGCTTGTAATATAAACACGCATTATGACGTTGCTAACGATCAGTAGTGTGCTATAAAAACTTCATATAGTGTATTTTGCTATAACCTAGCATCGAATTAATATTGGGTACATTTAGTACTTACTTAATGCTTTTCAAAGTAATGAAATGGAATGTGTAAGTTAGTTAGGGAGTTAGCTTTTTTTAACTCGTATTTGATTTCCACAATAAAACTTGAAGTATCTCTACTAACGATGTTAAGTACAGAAACAAAACAAAAACTTCAATGCAAGTTTCATCGCTACGCAGATGAAATGTTTGCAATAAAATCAACAGGGCAAATTTCGACAAGCACACTTTTAAACTGTACCTAAATGGCTCTTGATATTCTTTCGCTACTGTTCCTCGAATACCTTTTAAGTTTGCCAAAAAAACACAAGTCCTTTCATTAAACATTTCCCTGCACCGAAAAGTTTATCCTCGGATTTGTTCGAGCTGTGATTAGTCACTTGACCACTCTTCAGAAAAAAATGTATTATCTGTTTGTTTAATAACAAACGGTACGTAAAAGAGTGTATTTGAGATATTATTCTATTGTATTTTATTTTCTAGTGATCACTGATGTTAAAGAGCAGAGGAAGCGACAGGAAATACGAGAGACTTTTATTTGAAATCGATAACAGTCCGTATCGAATGCTTCTAACTTCTAACAACAGACGACATGACGCGACGTGACGCGCCGTGACGCGTCTATCACCACGCCAGTGAAAATGGCGTCTTCACGACGTGACAGGTAAAATGAACGCGACCGATTGACACTGCGACACGTTGATGTAGAGGAGTCGTTCTAGTTTTTGTTTTACAGTTATCAAGAACTTTATTGTCATACAATTAAAGTATATTTTACAATGATTTACCCGAACGTTTGTCGTGTTTTTGAGTGACCGTGATTGATTGGAATGATGTTCCATTTCGCGCGACGTCTTTGTGATGGAACTGACTATTAAATGTGCTTTCTTTATACTATTACATTATTTGAACGAATATACGCATCTAGTGGAATTCGTCAGTAATACACCCTTGTGGATAACTAATGTCTAATATTGGAAATAACCAAATAATCTTGTACAATATATTACTTTGATAAATGGTAATGCACCAATTTGCCATATCAAACGGGTTGCGACTCAAAGCCCCGATTGTTTCTACTTCCTACTGAAACTCTGATGCTTAAATCGTGCGTGTATTGTGCTGCGGTGAACAAAGCGCTTCTCAAACTTCGTAAACAGGTCCAATGGAAGAGAAAAACATGAAACAACACAAGTCGCCTGTGGTTTTTTGCAAGCAATTTCAATTAATTTGGTACTATTTCCGTTATAATGCTAAAATAAAAAGCAAACAAATTTGTTATTTTTATTCAATTATCTTCGATTTCAATTATGATTTTTTTTTGGACAATAAAACCTTGTTTGATTATTTTGCCGAAAGCCTCTCTGGAATATAAGCTTTCTGCTCTCATCCCACAACACAGAAAAAAAAGGATTTCCTGTAAAAAAAATGTTGAATGCATATTACAGTAAAAATGGCAGGGGCTGCTTATAATCTGGGCATTGATCGACGTAATCGGCTCCTAATCGAGCTAATTGTTTCCTCATTAAGTTGTATAAATAGAAATGTAACCCAAATAAGTCTGAACTCGGTGTTCGGCGTCGCAACCGCCCTTGAACTGAGCTCGCGCGGAGGCTCTCGCGCGGCGTTAGGCGGCGGGCGGGGGCGCGCGGGCGCGGGGCGGGGCCGGCGCGAGGCGGCCAATCAGCGCCCCTTCACATTTTTCAGCCCCCGCCCGCATCGCCGGACGCTGCCCAAAAACAAAAGGATCAAAGTCGGGGAAACCTATCTCTTTCTTTGTGAGGCCGGCGAGCGGGCATCGATGAGAGGATAGATACAGTGTGTCGCGCGGGCGCGAATCGATAAGCGCTCGCCTCCCTCCCGCCCCTGGGCCCCTCACCCCGGCCCCGGCCCCGCGCACCCGCAGCCCCCTCCCGACGTCGGGGCGCCGCCCGCCGGCCATTTGCACGGATGTTTACTATTATTATTTTATTGAACGGACGCTCTAAGTGGCAATATAAGATTTACAAATTATGTGGACGAGGATCGAACCTATGACATCGACGCGTTCGCGGCCAAGTGACAACGCGAGCTCAAATTTACGATATTAATTTTGACTCTCATAATATAAAACATTAAGTTCTCAAGTCTATAAACTGGCAATTAGTATAAGCAGAGGTGGTTATGGCGACCTGCTTTTCATGCAACTTAAAAGGCTATTAAGGGTCATTATTCACTGAATATTGTTGATCGAACGTCACGGATTTATGAAGCGTTCTGACAGCATGCCAGTTATGAAACTACTGAGAAATACATAACCAGCGAATAGGTAAACACTGAACTTACTGTATTTTTTATTACTCCCATAAATACCTACTTAAATTCAAACCTGACGATTTTCTAACACGCACAAGACTAGATAAAAGATTAATATTGTCTATTGCTATATATACTGTCTAAGAAAACTGTATTATATGTAGGATAAGAGAAACTTTAAAAACGTACAGTTAAGTTAAGGTATAGGACTTTTAAATAAGCTTGGGGTTCGGTTCTGAGGTTACAAAATTGTTTTTTGTACTTATAAAAATTAAAACGGTTTATATCGTTATTTAGCGATAAAATCAATGAGAAAATGGAGAAAGAGAGAGAGAGAGAAAAAAAAATGCTTTAAAGTTATACTAAATAAAAAATTTAAAAATAAGCGCAATGAAAATTATAATTAGTGGATTGCTAACATCCTGTTATGACCCATACAGTTATTACCCACTATACATCCTCTCTGTATCGCAAGGTTAACTGTAAGAGAACTCTTTTAGAGTTAATCTCACCTGTACATCATTGTATTTCTATGTAATGTTACACTATGTACTTTAAACTGTGTACAAAGCTTAAATAAATAAATAATAAGGTAAGTTTGACTTTAACCCTATTCTTATGTGACATCATTTGTGATACGGGTTATAAATAACCAAGACGTCAATAACAAGTTAAGTCGAACAAATCTGTATAACTCTGTGATACTTAAAATCCGCTAAACTGCTGAATTTCAATATATTTAGCATAGATATTGATAGAGAAACTTTACAATTATGGGCAAATATGGGCAGCAGTCACTTCGCTATTTCAGCGATATCAGGTGGCCGCTCGCTCGTTTGCCACCTTTTGATATAAAAAAAAAACAATTGCACACTGATGGTGAAAGACCAATAGGTTTACTAAAGACTTTTTTTAACTGATTCTAAAACAAAAAATCAAAAATGTGAGTTACATTATATTATTGGTACCTAAAAAGCCATCAGACGAAGTATTTATAATATAAAGTTAGAAAAAAAAAACAGATTTCTACGTTGTATTGAAAGTATTCAGAAAGTCTACGATATTATAAATAGTATTATGTTATTTCTATTATTACTCGCATAACAAACAAAATAGATCTTGATTTTGGCATAATGGTACTCGTGAGATTGCAAAATGTCTAAAAATAACATAGTAAATTCTAAATCGTTCAGTTCACAAGTGTCCACACTGTTTTTGATATGCCTAGGCCAGTCCGATGATGTAACGAAGTTCGTTACTCTCCGGTCGATTATTTTAATTCATTCTTCTTATTAATTTTAACAAATTAATGCCATTCTGCAATTATGCTATAATTATTTATGTTTATTTTTTGTATATACCCATACATTTTTTGACAGCATTGCTATTGGTCTATTTAATTATTATTTATTGAATAAATACGTATAGTTACTATAAATTTGTAGGTATATTAACTAACACTTTTTACAATCTCGTACATTTTGCTAGTAGTTTTATTTTGTACCGAAATCTACCATAATTTCAATTAATTACGAAACTTATTAATAATTATCATAATTCGAATTCGTAAAAATCTGTGCATTTTCAAGAGCTTCTGGACCGCTTAGTTTATTTTAGGCTTCTACAAAATAAAAATCATCAAAACCAACCAACAACAAAGGCATTAAAATACAATCTAAAAATGGATGTACGTGAAAAGTAGTGATGAACGCCATCTGTTTCGCGTATGCCGAACTAAAATAAGCTAGTAGTAAGTGCTGCCATCTATCAAAAAGCATTCGGACGTTGGTGAAAACATTATGAAAACTAGAACATAGAGGGCACCGCTGCGAAATAGGTGAATTATTCAAAGTTATTTAAATTTAAATTCAAATAACAATATTAGCCTCTTATTATCAAAATAAATTATAAATATCATAAACCAGGACTGTTTCATTGATACATAATATGAACTTTTCACTTTTCGAGCTTTTCTTTGTTTGCTGCGTAATAGACTGTTTTACCGACCTCAAACCATTTCCGCTTGCCGCTTGAAGACATCACGCAAACGCGAACTCGATGTAATGTAGCTAACTTCATTTTATAAATGTTCGATCTCCTTCAACTACGTTGAGGCTTGTACATTTTGGAGATTACACTTTTCGGTAATTATTTTTTTGCTCATTGAAACAGTGCAGTTTAACATATTATTATTCCTATTCTAGTCAAAGGTGAGTGCGATGAATTAGTGTGTCCTGTGACTGGAATAAATTGGCGCGTTAGATTCTGTCAACACAGCATAATGTTCACATGCTGTGGGGTTTATGCACGTGTAATTACAATACATTTGTCCATTTCCATTTGCAGAAATGGCTCTAAGTGTTGCACTACCTCTACCTGGATTGGAGTCGGAAAATTTCAACTCCTTCAGCTCGTTCATAGACATAGCGGGCTTGTCTCAATCGCAGACTAGTCCGAGTCCGTCTGTCTCTAGCGAGTCTAGCGGTATCGGCTCGCTGGGGTCTCTCAAATCCGAGTCAGTGAATAGCGACTCCTTGCCTTCTAGTCCTCAAACTACGGAGAAGGTAAGCATTATCCCTATTTTGTCCATTTTGTTTGCATTGGCCTTGACCTCTCTATTTTCATAATATTCTATAATGGCGAATGTCTTCGCTAACGTTATTGTGTACAATTGACATTTGATAACGGAAAGATTTTGCGAGTCGTGGGGTTAAAGATTGAAATATGAGATAATGATATCGTAATTAAATTAAAAATAAATGATAATATCTAACCCTATTATAGTTATTACAGACATTACGTCAAATTTGTTTCTATAAATATAAATGTCAGTGGTGTAACTAGCAGTGCTAATCTGATTTTCTTTATTGTTTTTTTTTATTTACATTTATAACTTTTTGATATTTCAGAAGGTATTCGAACCATTCGTGCAACCTCAACCACGTCCAAAGGAACAGAAGGCTGAAGATATCAAAATAAAATATGAGCAACGCGACGTTCTCAACCTGATGGCTAATCTCACCGATTCCCGATGGAACTACCGTGCAACAGTGCTGCCACCTAAGGATCCCGCACTGTTCTTCGCCAACCGCTCGCAGTATCACCGGTTGGGGCCGTTTGGAACGCACACACAGTATGTAAAAGACGCTTGCCATTTCTGTGGCTTCTCTTGGGTTGTAGCTGCCAAGGATTGAGGTGACAATGTATCAACACAAACTCCTGAACAAACGAATGTTGAATGGGTATGACTGGGACACATCAGGGTGCGTACCAACTTCTATCTTCAAGTAGTTTGGTGTTTACATCGCCATACCCATCCAGTAAATCAACGACTACAGTTCTCTTCAACTGACGACTTATCATTTTATTTTTAAATGATAGGATACTCCACTTATCTTTGGAGTTTTTGTATTTTCACATAATCGTAAATGCTTTAAGTTTAGGATACAGTTTAATCAATATTAGACTAATTTGACCAAAACATTACAGTTCCTTCTCTCGGAGCTGAGTTGTTGATTTAGTGCAATTTTTTAATATTTTTCTATGTCACAGTGCCTCACTGCTGTGGCCCAGTTATACAGATGACTGTGGAATATGTAAGTGGTTATCGTCCCACGTATTTCGTAGAGTTACATTTTGAACGTGACTTAATACTGTGATCTTAATTTAAACAAAGCAATTTTAGAAAAATTCTGTGAAACGTGCGACGATATAAATAACTTTGGTTTTATTTTAACTTATTTGTTTGTGTGATACCGTTAGTTTTAATTATATTATGTAAACAATGCCATAGGAATATAATTAACTATAATTTGGCATTTTCCTTGTCTAAGCACTGAAAATAACTTGGAACCTACTCTTCCATTGATGTTACAATATTCTTTATTTAAAACAGATATCATCTTATTAATTAATTAATATATACTTAGTTCCTTTTAGAATTGTTAATGATTTGTTATCCAAAGAATCTATTTGTTTTTAATATGAATTTAATATATTATCTATAAATTGTTGAACAAAACAATTTATATTGATTAGTATAAAATACAATTGGTTGATAAATTCAATCGTTGAATTTTAGTTCAGAAATAAATTTAAAGCAATATTTAAATTTTGGACATTTACTTATTTAATAATGAGTTTAATATCTCCCACCATTATGTAATATGTTATTATTTAAATATTGTTTTATAATTATCATTAGGACTGTAGGTGTAATGATTTTAATATATTCCACAGTCATAATCAATAGGATTGTCACTGTTTAAACCAAAAGGCTGCTTCTCGGATGTTTTATTATTTACGATTTTGACGAGATGGCACGAATTTAAAGCCAAGCTATAGGTTAATTTTAAGGTCTAATTATGATTGTTGGATGTACCGTCCGAGCATTACATAATAATAGTGATGACGTAACCTAGAGGATATGATCTTGATACATTGCCCTAAATCAAATTCCTATCAACTTTATGAAATGCATAACGACTCATTTTTTTTCTTTATATGACAAACCCATGCAGAACATAGTCGGATGGGTTATCAGTGCATATCATCACAAATTATAACAGTGATTAATTAATCTAAGGTATTAGTAGTTGTTACAGTTTTAAAACTTTCGAGTCATTGATGTGCCCAGAAGCTGGGCTTTAGTGAAATTATTACTAAGAGTCGTTTACAGACTGGCAATATCTCTATGTACATGCATATTTAATCTATAATATCCATGGTCTCTTAATTTTAGTCAAGATATTTAATAGTGTGAGTCTCTTCAATTATGTGTAAGTAATGTGTAACATACTATATTAATGTAATAATTGATACTGTCCTTTTGTGCAACTTTAGTTCTGCTATGTTGTGATCAGCTTTAAATTGTAACTGGAGTATTTGTACACAATAATGTTGAAATATTTTTCCCACAAAGTTATTTTTTATAAAAATGAAATGTTAATACGTGACAATACAGTTTGTAGTTTTCAAAATTTTTCTTTATACAACATCTTATTTAATGGTGTGAAAATATTTGGAAGGGACCAACATCCATGCATTAGTTTGTTTTCTGAACAACAATATTCACATACATAAAGGAAGTTTATCACATTCTAAATTGACATTGCATTTTATCAAACGCTTTATCTTAGTCATCGCAGTTTTTGTTTCCGTATTTAATCGTTTTAATGGGCTATGAACATTTACTGATAACAAAATTAGATATCGTTTTAACAAAAATTATTTATATATTTATTATAGGGTGTCAGTTGGTCACAAACTGAACTGAACATATAGCATGGATCTCAGAATGCAGCTTAGATTAATACATCGAAGCTAATAAACACCATTCCCGGGGACACACACATGTAAATTGTCGTTAGTACGTAGCGTCCTCACAGTCACACATACTCACAAAATGGTTGTTATCGTTATTTTTAATCCAATGTTGCATTCAGATTATTTTTAGTTTTTAATATCTTTATAATGACAAAGCTTCGATCGAATGTAGTTCAAAGAGAGTTTTCGGAGCGATACGCACAGTTAGTAGTGGGGCGGGGCGGTGCGCGTTGTGGGCTCGCCTGCATGCGTGCGCGTCCGCGCGGCACAGGCCAAGGTGCGATGCAATATTTGCATTCCAGTTTTGTGTTGTAAGTTAGCTGCAGTGGATGGTATAGTTGTTAATGTTTATTTAAATCCACATTGCCAAATATTTTGGTTGTTGTGCTATTTATTTGAATAATTTTTTTTCCCAAGTAATCAATTTAGTACCTTCCAATAACTGTGTTTAAGTAAGTTTACAATGTTTAAATCATTTCAATTTTATGCATTTTATTTTGTTTAGACAAATCATTATACACGATATTATACTTATTATCTGTTGTATTTATATCTATTGTTCATTATATATTTATAATATATTTTTTTTCTCATTGAACTGTAGTCAAATGACAGTATTTTTGTAAAGAAAATTGTATAAGGATGAAGGGTTTTGACTGGGCGGCTGGGGGGCCGGCAGTTGGTAGCGCCGCCTGGCTGTATTACGTATATCTGATAAGCATTATGTAGGTTTAGCGAAATAGATTAACTCGGAGACAAACTCCAAGTACCAAAACTTATTGGTTTGATGTTGTTCTCGTATTATCGTGATATAGTGCGTCGCGCGCGGCGCAGAGCTCAATATTTTAGTAACCCTTAAGAAAATTAATACCTCTTTTGAAAAGATTATAATATATATTATATAGTATATCCAATCGATAATCACATATGTATTTCCCTGTTTATTTTGATGTGATATCATAAATGACTGATCTGAATTTAGTTTTTAAGTTGGTTATTAATATGCAGTGCTATTTCAAGAATGTAATTAAGATTTAATATTGAAAGTGCCAATGCTCGTAATTTAATCTTTGACTGTTCCTTTAACACGGCGGGCGACGCGGACGCGCTCGGCCGCGCCGTCTGCGCCGTCTGCTCGACTTGAGTATAAGCAATCGTATCTTCCTTGTAACATTAAGTTGTCATACATTACATCTCGTAACTACATCCACGTAATGTGCACAATCTCAGTAATGCTTGCAATATTATGTGTAACGTGTTTTAATTCCTCACTTTTATAATTTAATCCAGCGTAATATTAAGAGTACAATATGAGATGATGTTATATCATTCTAGTATCAAAATTAGCCGAAGATGTTAATATTATTATTAGTTAGGTAAAATTTTAACATAGCTTCGTATAATTGGGATGTTTTAGTATTTAGTAGTGTATATTTACGGCGTAGTGGCAAATGTCGTCTCGTGAGTAAATTGTAATGTTGTGGCATTAATACTCTTGCTGTTCCGCCGAGAGCACGCCACCGCCGCGCATACGCAACTGACGATAGACACTAGGCGTTTATTTGTTGTAATTATAATAATAGCCGTAGGTATTTTATGGTACTTAAATAATTATTCTTGCGATGCCTTAATTCTGGTTGTCAATTAGACATGTCTGCCTAGAGTGTTATTGTTTTTATTTATTTTAGTTTTTGCTGTTCCGGCTTCCTCCGTGAACTTCCAGTCCAGGCTGTTCTTTTGAAATAATTTTGAGGTCGATTTATTTTTACCTAAGTGTTCTTATTAAATGTTACCAAAATGTTTTTAATAAAATATTTTTATATGTAGCTAAAGTCGTTTGATTTTTACTCCCGCACATTTTATCAATCATTCCTAGTCGAACTATTTTTAATGTTGCGGAGGAGGTATTTATTCTCGTCCGCTTTGTGAGTGTATTAATAACGCTCGCGAACGTGACTCAATTTCTACACTTTTCTGTAAACAACTAAAATTGTGCAAAAGTACGAAACAACTTTTTTTTAGATCTACATTAAATATTTTCCAACACTGGGATCACGTGTAATGTTGCAAACATACGTTTTTGGGGACAGTACAAACAAATTATAAAACGATACAAATGTTTCGACATAACATGAGTTGAACTTTGTGTTATTGCGAAGATGTCAATTTTATATGATCGTGTACACATGTTAATTCTTATAACACCTTATGTAGAACAAGGAAGCAGACCACTGAATTACAAATGCTAGGTCATTTATCTAGAGACAAAGAGATTGTGTCTGAATGAAATTAATCCTTTATTTTACTTTGATACAGTTAATCATTGGACACATTCTTGAAACATTCTACTACTAATTTTGCTAGACTAATATTTATATTTTTTAAAATAACTTTTTTTAGTACTTAGTTTTCGAAACGCTCGTGTTTTTTTGATTGTTATAAAAAATTGTGACATTTTTAAAGTAAGATTATATTAATGTTTTTTTTTAAATGTGTTAATGTATCTTGTCTTTGGTCGAGAAACATGAAGTTATGGCGTCATCTTATTAGCATGTCGCTAAGTGGAATGTAATACGCACAAAATCACGGTCACATGTGTCGTAGTGAATACAAATTGTCTTACATCATAAACTTTAGCTTCCATTGCCAAAGAAAATGTATAAAAGCCGTGGAAACCCAATGTAAAATATAAATTAATGCGATAGTGTGATCTTTATTCACACGATTTTGTATTTCATCGCTTAGAGTTAAACAGAATGGTAGATTACGAATCATCTTGAAAATTTATTTATTAAATTCAAATTTTCAATAATTCACATTATTTACTAAGTAATTAATAGCTGTTTTTTAATTGACTTGTTAAATATTATTTATTTATAAGATGCAATAAATATGATTATAAT